AAAAAAAAAAAAAAAAAAACTTAGTCATTGTCAAAAAACTAGGCGTTTTTTTTTTAAAAAAAAACTGCACTTAAGGCCCACGAACCCATCCCATCCCGTCCCATCCCTTTTGTTAGCGCGACGGGATGGGCCTACCGTTTCGTCCTGTTTGTCCCGTCCCGCCACCGTCCCGGCTAAATGTCCTCCCGTCCTGTCCCATTAATTTTGTCCCGTCCCGTTGGATAGCCATAGTGCAAACTCATCTTTAAAACCAAGCGTATGATAGATATTTTTCTTATTGACATCATCCAATATATCCCAGCAACAGCAAGTTCTACTGCAGCATTTTGACCCTCAACAACTTTGTTATCATGCTCACACACTAATCCAGCAAAGGTGTTACCCACCAAGATCAAACACCACGGTAGTTTTGTTAATTCTCTCAACAAGATCATAAGCTAATGAGACAGCGACACCAGTGTCATTGTTTGCCAGAGACACCTTCATTGCCGATTCCTTCCATATTCCACTAACTGCTACTAAAAGAAACCAAATTATCACAAATGAAATAAACAACCAACCCATCCTACATGTGTCATAGTGCTGCCAGCTGATTAAATGAACTAATAGGATGACATCAACATCAATCCTAAGAATTTTCAGAAAAATCTCAGTAGCATCCTCCTGTCCTGCATCCCTAGAAATAATGTCTAATTCCTCGAATGTAACATCACATGCCGTTACTTTTTTTTTAAACGGCAAATAATAACTTTTATATAGATATCCATCAAGAAGAAATTGCTGTGTGGAACCATCACATGCAGTTACTTTTGTCACAACAATTTCTAGATAGAAGCTCTGACCAACTAATCCAACCACCACATTTAGAATTAACTGAAGACTCTTTACTGTTGGCATTCTGTTTTTCACGACATTCAGAGAAAAGAAAATGCATGTTTGCAGGGTATTTGGCAACTCAAACACTGGAAGAATTGGCCACTGTCAATGCAACTAATTAATCTCTTGTAATTAATTTGCTTGACAAAATAAAGCGGGCTCAGTGCTATAGAATTGATCCACTGGCCTAGGAGTTAGGACATTGGAAGAGCTTCGCGAGCCTTGTTGACCAGTAGGAAAGAATGGTCCTATTTTGTACCATATGCTTCCATTTGAATTTATCCTTCTGTTTTCTATTTACTATCATGCAGCCTTTTGGAAGTGAACGGTACTCGCTACATTTTATGGTATCCATAGGCACAAGACATTTTACACAACCAACGCTGGATCCAGTTTTTACAATACACAATCAAGCATGTCGCAACATAAATGTTATTTCTGTATTTAGAGCTAGGTCACATTGCTTGAAAAGGTATGCACAGAAGCGGGCACAATAAATTTACATTAGTCCATTCTAAGGTTAACTCATGAATCAAGGAAGAGTCAAAATATCTGGAAACTATTCTTTTCAAGCACCAAAATGTAACAAAATTTTCACTTAAAGCACCAACATTTTATGATGCTAAACTAATTCAAACCACAAAACTCTACTAGTTCATTTTATTAAATCAAATATGATGATCAAGTTAAAGATGTTATCTGGAAAATAGTAAAAATGAATAAGAAATTGTGAAAATGTTGTTGTAATACCTGAGTACAGCATCAACTCAGAATATTGCATCAACTTCAGTTCGGATGTCAAATGTTGACAACTCTCTATGAAGGTTATAGGTCCATGCAAAGTAGTCACTCCATCAACCATCACATTATACTCGTAAGAAAGAAGAGAAACTCTTTTTTTTTCTTTTTCTTTTGTGATTCTCTTCCCACTATCACTTTTACCCACAACCCCCATAATGGAACAACTTATGCCATTTCAAGAAAGCTTAATTTCCCGCAGATCTCAGACTACTGGAGTTGTGTTGTTGGCTTGGTCTTGTTGATTAATTGGGAAGAGGTTAAATATATAAGAATAAACCCCACAACCGTTTAGTATATGGAAGAGGTTAAATATTTAATAAACCCTACAACCTTAAAGTACCACAGAATTTCAGTCTTTGATTTGTGCTTTTACATTTACAATATCGGCACGGCATCACCCTTCGTGCATTAACACTCACTCACAAATATCATGCACGGCATCACCCTTCGTGTTTTTACACTCTTCCTTACCCAAGCAACAATCACAAAGCAATTCGGGCAAGGGAATCAATAAAATCACAATAGAATCCCGGCAAGGGAACAATAGTATATCAATAATATCCCGGCAAGGAAACAATAGTATATTAATAATATCCCGGCAAGGGAAACAACATGATGAGCAATAACATCCCGGCAAGGGAAACAATATCAAAGCAATAACATCCCGGCAAGGGAGACAATATCATAAACCTCTTCTCTTTTACACAATTACTTCACAACTCAATTCTCAACTTGAGCCAATGGTCTACAATGTTCAATTACCAAGAATACTTCTATAAGCCTTGTTCAACATTATAAATCATCATATTAAGCATGGACAATACCAAACGGAGTCACATCAATCATAGTATAAGACTCACGGGCATGCTTGATACCGACGTATAGATACTTGTCACCACACCTATACGTCGTACTCAACAACTAACGCATAACAAATAAGACACAACTCCTAATCCCTCAAGCTAAGGTTAGACCAAACACTTACCTCAATGCCATGAATACACTCAAGCTCAACTATCGCTTTAGCCCTCCATTTCACCACTAATTCGCTTGTATCTAGTTACAATTTACTTAATGATATCAATAAATGCTAAATGAATCAATTCTAATGCATGAAAAATAGGTTTTATAATGATTTTCCCAAAAAGTCAAAAATCGACCCCGGGCCCACATGGTCAAAACCCGAGGTTCGAACCAAAACCCGATTAACCATTCACTCACGAACTCAAATATATAATTTGTTTTGAAATCGGACCTGAAATCGAGGTCCAAATCCCCAAAAATTGAAAATCCTAAGTTCTACCCAAAAACGCCCAATTTCCCCATGAAAACCCTTGATTTTGAATTAAAATCATGTAAAAAGATGTTATAGATTGAAGGAAATAAGTTAGAAGTTGTTTACCTATGATTTGAAGAAGAACCTTTCTTTGAAAAATCGCCCAAGGGAGCTTAGGGTTGGAGGAAGTTAGAAAAATGAAGAAAATTTCGTCTAAGTTTGATTTTACGCAGGCGCAGATATCGCATTTGCGATGTCATGTTCGCAAATGCAAACTCGCAATTGCGGCCCAGGCTTCACAAATGCGAAGGTAGGCCTGCCCTGTTAACTTCGCAAATGCGAACCATCGTTCGCAATTGCGATCACTGATGGAGTCGTTTTGCGACATAGAGCTTCGCAAACGCGAAGGTCACCCCCCCTGCCCAGTCACAGCAAATGCGATGGTTAGTCGTAAATGCGAGCTCGCATTTGCGATCAAGGCTTCGCATTCAGCAGCTGCTCCTAAATTCAAAACACTCCGCGACCTATCCAAAACTCACCTGAACCCTCGGGGCTCCAAACCAAACATGCATGCAAGTCTAAAAACATCATATGGACTTGCTCGTGCGATCAAATCATCAAAATAACATCAACAACTATAAATTAAACCTCAAATTCATGAAATCACTCAAGAACATCAAAATTTCCATTTTCTCAAAATAAAGGTCCGATTTATACTAAACGAACTTCGATTCTTACCAAACTTCACAGATTCAACTTAATTATTATATAAGACCTGTACCGGGCTCCGAAACCAAAATACGGGTCTGATACCATCAATTTCAAACATCTTTTCTTTTCCAAAAACACTTATAATTTCAGTTAAACAATTTCTTTCAAAAATTCATTTCTCGGGCTTGGGACCTCGGAATTCGATTCCGGGCATACGCCCAAGTCCCATATTTTAATACGGACCCTACGAAACTGTCGGATCACGGGTCCGGGTCCGTTTACCAAGAATGTTGACCAAAGTCAACTTTAATCAATTTTAAAAGCTAATTTCCTTATTTTTCTTAGATCTCACAAAAAGTTTTCCGGAAATGCGCCCGGACTGCGCATGCAAATCAAGGTAAGACAAAAAAGAGGGGTTTTTAAGGCCTCGAAACACAGAATTTACTTTCAAAACGAGTGATGACCTTTTGGGTCATCACATATTCCAACTCTTCTTTTGCATTGAGGTGCATTTTTCTTGAAGGTTTTAATATTAGCATTAGATATGTAACTATGTCTATTCACATACCTGTGTTTTGACATTAGTGTCTGTCCAAGTTGTGGATGCAATAACCTATTTGCAACACCATGGATATCTGGCAGGACAGTTGGAACAGTAGCAGCGGAGATAACACCAAAATTGGTAGCACACTCAAAAATTTCTATAGTAGTATTACTTGCCATAGTTTCTTAGATTGTAGGAAAATGACACCGAAAAATAACAATAATAATACTGCTTCAATATTATTTGTAAGAAGATACACGGATTGACTTGAGTCGTGCTGGGCACTGTCCTAAGAAACTATTTCAGCAATATGAAATGTTTTTCCAGGATTAAACAAGTTCATCTCTGATTTATTTAGAGGATATAGGAATCAGCAAAATATTTATATTACAATAATCCAACAAGATTGAAAAGAGAATAGGACAAAGAAAATTTATAAGAAAAATTGGAAGTAAGAGAAGCTAAGAGAGAAAGGGAAGAAGGTTAAATAGAAAAACACTTCTGATGGGTGTATTATCGTGCAGCCAAATGATGACTATTTATACTTGAAATTGCATGGCATGAAAGTGGCTAATCAAGTTTGCCACTTGGCATAGTCTTCTAGAAGGCTAAGACACTTGTCATTAAAATAGCCACACTTTCCAATGGTGGTCAAAGGGTGGAACAGTGGTGGCGAGAGACGGTGAAGGTGAGCTTAGCTTGCTACTGCTCTTTGTTCCTAGGCTGCTAGGATTTGGACTGTGGTTGTTGAGGAGATCCGATATAGATGAGAAGGTGTTGGTTTATGGGTTCTTTCCAATGGTAGTCAAAGGGTGGAACAGTGGCGGCGTTACAAGGGTGAGAGCGTAGATGCTACTGCTTTTTGTTCCTATGGTGCTAGGTTTTTTTAGGCTTAATTGTGTCTGGCTTTTTCTCGACAATTATTTGGAGAAAACGAAAATAAGAAATTTTAGCGTTTGCCTGGATTTTTTTTCCAGCACTGGTGCTCATCGCCATTGCTGGAACGGAGAGCTGCCGTAAGAGTGTTTTTTTCTCGAATCTGTACAGGCACGACAATTTTTTTGGTAAAAATGAAAGAACTTTTAAGTTTCCCAAAGCAGCCAACTTCAAACAAACACTAGCACAAACATATTTAACAGAAGAAAAATCATCGAGATTCTATTGATATTGTTGTATCGCTAGTTTCAGTGGAGTTGCCAAAATGAAAATTTATTTATGTTGGTCTGCATTAGTACCATTTTTGCCATGCCATGCACCACCTCGTTGTCTTGTCTGAAGCTATGCCTGAGTACCTCTTGACCCTTCCTCCTTGTTTGTTTCATCAACCACCTGTATTCAAAGATAAGGTTCATGTAAGTAGGGTGATCATTGTCTAACATATTGATAACCTCTGATGCATCTGTTTCTATTTCCACTGGCGTTAAGTTGTGCTGCATTATAATTTGCAAACATCCTCTCAAGGTTTGGAGCTCCACTTGTGTTGCTGATAGGGTCGGAACTTTCATGTGAAATCCTAGTATCCAGCTTTCTGTGTGATTTCTTGCTACTCCACCTATACCACCTTGGCAATTATTACCATTGAAAGCACCATCTATGTTGAATTTGTACCAGCCTTTTGGTGGTTTATGCCGGTGTATCTTGATTTGTTTATGGATTGTACTATTGATACCTTTCTTTGTTAATAGGTTATATTCAACAACATGCTTTATAACGGAGTTCCAATTTAGGCTATAATTTGTATTATTATGGTTATTGTTGTTCCTGTTTTTCCAGATTAGCCAAATTGCGAAAGGGTATATATCATCCCATTTGAGGTATGTATGGTGAAAAGTATGGTTTGCATCCCTTATTTGGTCTATCCAGTGGTCTTTTGAGGTGTAATTGAGACGAATTCCAAGATCAATCCAGATGTGCTTAATAGAGGCACAACCCTAGAAAGTGTGATGAATAGTTTTATCATGTAGTTTGCATGTGTGGCGTTTAGGGTTAATGTTTATCGCTATATGGGCTAGGTAGGCCCTAGTGGGGATCCTATTATGGTAGTATTTCCAGATGAAGATTTTTATTTTATTTGGACAGTGAAGATTCCACAGCCAGTTGTAATCTTTTTCGCATGGTTCGTGTTGATTAATGAGTTTATAGCACGAAGAAGTTGAGAACATCCCATTTAAACTAAGGCTCCAAATATTAAGAATTGAAATAGTCAGAGGAGTATTGTATTTCATAATAGCATTTATGTTATTTAAGATGCTATTTGGAAACTCAAAAGATAACTTTGTGAGGTCCCAATTCTTCCCCGAAGTTATATTACCAATAGTGAGTTTGTCTTCATTTTGGTTTAGGGGGCTTTCAATAGAGTTCCTTAGGTTACTTATGTTAGGGATCCAATTTGATTCCCAAATATTAAGGTTGGTGTTGCTGATATCCCATCTGGTTCCTTTATTGCAATAATACCAACCTTTCAATATACTTTTCCATATGAAAGAGTGATGATTTTTATTCCTAGTACTCCCATATTTATTAGTTATAATTTGGGTCCATAGATAGGTAGTGTTTATTAGTCTCCAAGTTAGACTGGTAAGTAAAGTCAGGTTTTTGCTTCTAGCTTTCCTAATTCCTAGTCCCCCTTTTTCTTTATCCCTCGTAATGGAGTTTCAGCTAAGAAGGTGGATTTTTCTTTTGTTGGGAGTAGAGTCCCATATGAAATCTCATTGAATCTTGTCAATGTCCTTGATTGTTTTTGTAGGGAGATGGGAATATTGCATGATATGATTTGGTATGTTATTGAGAGTGGATGTGACTAGAGTGCATCTATCAGTCATATTTAGCCATCTAGCTTTCCAACTTCCCAACTTCATTCTCATTATATCGATCACAAATTGATAGTCTTTGTGACTAGGTTTCGAGTTAATAATAGGAAATCCTAAGTAAATACCAAAATTATCACTAAGCTTGATGTTGAGGATGAAAAAAAAATGAAAGAATTTTAGCGTTTCGGGGGGAAAGTTTTTTCAAATTTCTTTTTTTTACAGGTTTTGCAAAACTTAGAAAAACATTTCACCCAATAAATATTTCTCTTTTGACTTGTTTGTGTGCTCGGATAATATTTGATTTGAAATTGAAAAAAAGTATTTCAAGTTGAAATTCATGAATAAGAGTATTGGAAAGTTGAAGTTATATTTAGAGTTGATTTTTACTCGAAAAAAGTTGATTTTTTATAATTGAAAATCATTATTCTATTGAAACAAGTTTTTCGATATTTGTTAATTCTGAAATTCGCTATTGAAATATTTGTAAAATACCTGTTTGAGGAGTATTTTAAGTGAAATTATGATTTTCACTCGCAATTTTTTTAAACTTACTTTTATCTAGATATTACAAGTGAATAACATGTACGTATTGTTATGCAATGCTATTACCAGTGAGTATTAATACATACTTCTTCAGTTCATGAGATATACTTCCCTAGTTAGTCAATTTCAATTTTTTTTCTATATATTTTAAAATAATTTAATTTTAAACTTTTTTATTTTACTGTTAATAAAATTTTTACGGCCATACAAATATTATGGATATGCTTAAAAACCACAAGTTTCAAATGTCATATAGTCATACAGATATTATAGCATATTTACAAACACAAATTCCAAAAATTTTCTTTCCTTAAATTTCATATCAGAATCAAATTACGTCTCGTAAATTAAAACAGAAAGAATAAAATGTTATGTAGTCGACAAAATCACATTATTCATCCACCAATTTAGCTTTCTTTTTCTTCTATAAGCTTATTTCTTCTTTTCAAATGCAGTCAAGGGCGGACCCAAAGGATATAATATGATTCACGTGAATCTATGGTGCTCTGGTTAAAATATGTATATGATGTACATAATTTGCAAAAAATACGTATACATATATGATGGCACCCATGACAAAAGAGGTGAAGTGATGCATTGGTTTTGGCCCCTTATTCTCAATAGCCTATAGCCTAAGGTGAAGGGATCAAATTTCTACCTAATTTTTTGTTTTAAATTTTTTCTTGAATGTTTCTTTTCCTTTTGTTCCTACTAATGCAATTTAGTGTCATGCTTAACTGACTTTGATTCTACTTGTTGCTAATGCAAACGTAGAAAAAATATTCTCCTCAACGAAGCTCATAAAAAAGGATTTACGTAATAGCATTATTGAAGAATTTTTGAATGGTTGTTTAGTTTGCAATATAGAGCGTAAGGTATTTGCAACTGTAAGTAATGATGCTATTATAGATAATTATTAAAGTATGTAAACTCGTCGAACACAATTATAAATTGGTGATGTTTTCTTTTTTTATGATAGTGAAACTAATTATTTTTTGCTAGCTAAGTTATTGTATTGTAAAATTTTTGTATCATCAAACTCAATATTTATCTTAAAAGTAATGGTGCACACATCTTCCCGAAAGCCATGGTTATGTTAAGTTAGAGTCAATCACGCTTCTTGCAGTTATAGGAATGGGCTACGTGAGCATGTAATTTTTGCCCCACAAAAAATACCCCTACAAAATAAAAAATATTATTCATTTGTTTTGATTTTTATAAAATTTCTAGCAATTTCTCTTTATTTGTTTTCTTTTTATTGCATATTTAATGTCTTAAAATTATAAAAAAATCCATAAGAATGTTCAAATTTTTATTTTTATAGCATTTAGGTTTTAATTGTATTTTTAGGATTTAATTACGTATTAAATGCATTGTCAAATGAAAATAACAAAAATACAGTAGTCATGTTGCATTTTAACTTTTAGATTTAAATTTGTAATTTTCTTTCATTAATTCACATTGTTAATTAATTAGTTAGTTAATTGCTAAACTAAAATAGGTGTTTAGGTTAATTGTGCAAATTAGTTTGAATTAAGAGTATAAAATAAAAATGGTTAAGTCTAAAATTCAAGTGAAGGAAGATAAATAAATAAATAAATAAAATAGGGCTGTTGTGTTCAAAAAGGGCCAAGCACCTCAGCAGCCTAGTTCATGAAAATCTGCCCCAGCCCAAACCCAGTGCAAGTCCGGTCCACCCTATTGCTAACTCAAACGACGTCGTTTGGGTGTCAAGCAAATCTCAGTTGTTCATCAAGCTAGATCTAACAGACCGGAACTGGATTCCCCATCCCATAAAATTGTCCGAAACAGCTCTCAAAACCCCAGAGACCAATCTCATTTCCCCCCATATCTCTCATCTTTCACTCTCTCCCAGAGCCGCCGGAAATCACCCCATGGAGGCGGCATAACTTTAGATGCCTCCAAATTTACACCCTACAACCTCCAGCACCCTCTCAGTCCTAATCTACCTTCAATTTTCCCAAAAGCCCCATCAAATTGGTCGAATCGTAGATCTAAGAAGGTCGAAAAAAACCCTAAATCTGTCCTTTTCTGATTTCTCCTCAATCTCGACCCTTTTGAACTCGAAACATACATCAATTGATTGCTCTTGATGAGAGCAAGATGTTAGTCTTAGTTCATCTCACGGCCACCGGAATCCAGTTGAGTTCTTTTGAACGGCCAGCTTTTCCTGGTTTCTCTCTAACCATTTCAACTCCAATAGGTATATAGTTATGTTCCCTTTCTGTATACAATTACAATCTCATCAGATTTTCAAGCCCGAAATGTCCGGGACGCCGGAAGTCTATTTTTCAAGAATAGCCACCTATGATCTTATTTTTTTATTTTATTTTAGGCCACTTAGCAAGTACAACCCTAAAATCTTCTCTTCCGAAGTGCTGAAGGGCTGTATTTGCAAAAGTAACCGTATTTTGTTTTAACTTGGGTTTTGCAAAATTAATATCTTGTCGTCAACTTTTTTTAACAATTTAATCAAGTCACCCCATTAAAAAATGTGCAGAATTAGCATTGTTCAAAATTTACCTTTGAAGGTTGTAGACTAGATCCCTTTGACACTCCACATGTGGTGGGAAGATTTGAGAAAAAAAGAACAAGACCGAGTCAATCAGTACTTGGGGGGCGCTCATATCACGATCCTAAACCCGAACCTGGTCGTGATGGTGTCTCTCATGAAGACAAGACCAGCCAATTAAACCCAATTTCCTTTTTAAACAGTTAAACAACATAAAAGCACTCTAAAACATGATTTAGCAATACTAAGTAGCGGATAATATCATTAAAGTGCAGAAGTACAACCCGACACAGCCCTAACCGGGGTGTCACAAGTCACGAGCATCTAACAACACTAAGTCCTCAAATGTAACTATAGAGTTTAAATATTGAACTAAGGACATAAAGGAAAGAGATAGGGAGGAGCTCCGAGCTGCGAACGCCAACAACTACCTAAAGACTCCTCGAGATCCATCTGAAGTTGGAATGAATCAACACTTAGGAGCGGGACCAGCTACGCCTGAATCTACACACAGGGTGCAGGGAGTAAAGTGAGTACTCCAACTCAGTGAGTAACAAATGTAAATAACGACTGAAAGTAATAAAATACGTAAGACACAAGACATTCTATAATGAAGCAGTAAAACCATTTTTAAAGCAGTAAACCGGTGAAAAGTTTAGTAAAATCCTTTTTCAACAAGTAAATAGGTAATTTGACGAGCAGTTAAGGAAAGTAAATAAATAGA